CCTTATTCGTGACGTAAAGCGGAAGTTTAAATTTTAGAAATTATTGTTTAATTTTAGGAATTAAACAGTCATTAAGCAGATATATCTTAATAGAAAATTTATTGTGCTTACTATAACTTTAAAACGCCTGCCTGATTTTAAAAAATTCAATTTTGCAGTTTTTGATTTAATATTTAATCAATAAAATAGATAAATAAAATAAAATAAAAAATAAAACTCATTCATTAATTTTTTTGAGTCATCCTGTATAAGCAATTCCAAAAAATATGAATGATTAAACAAAAGTATAGACTCACCATATTTTGTACATTTTAGATAGGATTTATTACGCAAAAGTTTGAGATGACCTCATCAATTTTTTCGGGGGACAAACAATTATATTTTGATTAAAAATGTATCATGTTTACGATAACTTTAAAACCTCTACAAGATTTCAGAGCAATCAGAGCATTTTGTAGTTTGAAAATTAAATTAAAAAATGTTGTTATACTACTAATTTTTTTTTCCAAAAATCTCTCTCAGGTAAAAAATCAACACGAATTCATAAAATATATGTCTCAGACTATTGTATATTATACAATTTAAAACTCATTTACTATGTAGAATTTTGAGATGACATCATCACATTGTTGGTGGGGACGATTAGACAAACTTTAGTTAGTGTTTTAACATCTACATGGTATTCATATAAAATTTGACAACTATCGGTCTGGTAGTTTCGGAGATTATTTGTCTAACAAAAATTCACACGGGCGGACAGACACACAGACAGACGATGACCTATGTTTATATACTATAGGGATCATAACACAATACATCGAGAAAATGTGAAAGTAGCCAGTCGGCCGGTGGATTCGATTACTGGATTACAATACTTCCTTAGCTTACGTTTGGGAAGTTCAAATATGAGTGGAATGAGAAATCACAAGTATATAATCATCATATTTTGTATATTTTCAATAGGATTTATTTGGCAAAATTTTGAGAAGACGTCATCAGTTGGGGGGGGGGGGGGGTTGTAGACGGAAAAGAATTTGAGTAATAATTTACCGTGTTTCCGACAACTTTAAAACGTTTGTAAGGTTTCACAGCATTCAAATTATTATAAAATTTTGATTTTTCCTACAAAAATCTAACTACCTAGGCTAAAAACTTAAAACGGATTCATAAACTACAAGTATATGAGTATGTTATTTTACAAAATTTAAATCACTTACTACAGTAAAAGTTGGAAATAACGCCATATGATTATTCATGGGGTTGATCAGACAAATTTTGTTTAGCGTTTTGTCATTTGAACGATATTCCTAATACAAATACAAGTAAAAAATACTAATACAAGATTTTACAACAAGCTGTCCGGTAGTTTAGAATATTATCACTGTAGTAAAAATCGACACAGCGGACAGACGACAGACGACGGAAACGTTTTCGTATTCTGGGGGTCATGAAATATCGAGAAAACGTAAAAGTAGCGAGTCCTCTGATGGACTCGATTACAATACTTCCTTAGCTTACGCTTGGGAGGTACAAATGAGTACGTAGGTAAATCGGATTTACCACTAGTGTGGTAAGTGGACATCGCAAAATATATGTTGTATGAATGCTACTGGTAATTTTATTTGTCTTACTCTTGTTTCGAGGCAGAGTTGGTGGATAATTCTTCAATCAGCAGTGTTGTATTTTGCCAAAAAATGAGTTGCGGAATTCTGAAACCTTATTGAAATGGTTCACTGACTTTTTACTTCTTGAACGTAAGCTAAGGAAATGTTGTAAAAGTGCCCATTCGGCGAATGGCTACTTTAATGTTTTATTTATTTTCCATCACCCCTATAATATGATATTAGGTCTCCCGTTTCCGTCTGTTTGTCATCGGTCTGGGGTCGGTCGTCTGTATCGACAATCTTCGAAACTACCAGACCGATGGTTGTCAAATTTTATATGTATGTTTGAAGTATCGTGTGGATGTAAAATGCTAACAAAAGTTTGTCTAAACATCCCTACCTGAAATTTTTTTTCGTCAATAATACTTAAATTTTATATTTGTAGTTTATGAATCTGTCTTTATTTTTTTAAAGCAGACATTCAAATTTTTATATTAGCACTGTATTCGAACACCGTATTTTATAAACGTCGGACGCTGTATCAATTTCAAGCTCAATTTTATGGAACTCTTGAGGTATGCCGTATTTTAATTATAGAAAGCTTGTGACTTTAATACTCCAGACATAATTTGTTTTAACTTGTTGTTATACAAGATCCCAAAATCAAATTTTATAACTTTTCGAAGATGTCTAATACCTTAGACCAATTTTTTATTTTATCTTTATTCTTGTATATAGTCCTTAAAATATGAATACAAAATATTTTTGTTACCAATTACACATTATATATTTCGACGGCCAGTTGGGTTTTTTTGACATTACGTCCGTTTGTTTGACATTACGTCTCATTATTTTCATTAGTAGTTGCACATGTTTCAACAGCATTTCTTGGGCTTACTCCAGAAGTTCAGATCACCAGGTCGAAGAAGTCCATTAACGAAATGAAAGCTATCTGTGGTGACGATGAAAATTGTGGATCTTTGTATCTTTTTTGAAAAATTGTTTTTAGATATCTACATACATAAAAAAAAAATCTTACAGGTACCAGATTCTTAGGGATAATAATTCCTCTTTGCATTTTTTTTTATTTTTACTTTCCGAGTGAAGACTGCGGGCGTATTGTAATAGGGTCTATGGCTACTTTCAAATTTTCTAGACGTTTCATGATGTATGAGAATGAAAAAATACGTCTCCCGTTTCCGTCTGTCTGTCGCCTGTTGTCTGTTTGTTTTCATACTATGGAGAAAGCAATGAAAGGGACGAATCCGGTCGCGAGTTCGATCATGAGCCACTAGATTTTTTTTTCTTACGCTGTGACTGGTATTATCTATATTTTTACTTCCTAGGCAAGCTAAGAAAGTATTGTAATCTAGTGGAATGGAAAAGCTTAGTTGAAACAAAAGCATAACAGGATTCTTTACTTGTACTTTAACAGTTCACATATTTTTTTTGTGACTTAACACAAAAAAATCACAAAATCATATAGTATAAATTGTCGAAAGGACTAGATTTGTAGCGGCGAAGCCAGTTCTGTCCAATATCGTAGACCATTTTTTTTCTTACATTGTGACTGATTTTATGACTTTTTTAACTTACAGGGTTTATCGTAGACTAAATATTTAGCAAAATAAAATGTTATAATTTTTCAAACAAGCTGGATTTGTTAGGTTACGCTTCAGGGGCGAGGAAAGTTCTGTCTAAATAATGTAGATCAATTTTTTAAACACGTATCTCAAACTTTTAAGCGAAAATAAAACGAATTAAATGTTAGAATTTTCGACTTGCCTTATTACCGTCACTTTGACAGTTTGTAATAACAATTTTACGATCAAATATGTACAAACTTTCAATCTATGGCTGTCTTGATCGTGTTTTTTATTGCTCTCTCGGTGATAAATTAAAATATTTGCAAAGTCTCTAAGTCAGAAGAAGAATACAAAAGCTGTCATAATATTGTATCTTATGAAATGTAACAAAAAGTACTAGGAAAACTTTAGAAAGAAAACGGAAGGATTAACTTTCTAAACAAAACGGGGTAAAGCTGATACCCATTGCCCATTTGGACGAAAACAACGAAAAAACAGATAGAAACTGGTTCATGATCTGGTTTGAAAGAAATTTGGACTCTATTAAAAATGGAGAAACGCAATATGGTGATGTTTTTTGAGCCGACCTCGATATTTATTTAGAAAAATACCAATTTTATTTTAAATAATAATTATAGTAATAGCAGATTTAAACCTGAGATTCAAATATTTAGTTTTAAGCAAGATTGCGCCTTTGAAATTCGAAATTATAACTGAATAATCTTTAGAAGAAGTTATCTTTTAATAAATCAAGAAATTAATTGAAACATGTTAACATGCTCCACTTTCATTTAACCAAACACCAGCAATTATTTAGTAGGTATCTACACATTATTTATTTTACTTTTAACGTTAAAACACAGTCTTGTCCCATCTTTGCCTGTTTAATATAAAGCATTTATTGTTCTAATGAAATAATGTTCCGGTTTTAATAAATATTTAGATTCAAGCATATACGACAGCGAGCTTGTATTGTTAACAACTTAATACTACGAAGAATAGTACAACTACCAGATCTGTGACAGGTTTTTGGCAAGTTATATTACTGCCAATCACTTAAATTAATTTTTGAGCAAATATTTATATTGCATTAGTTAGGCAAAACGATTAAACATTAGCTCCACAATACACTCAACATTTCGATCTTCGTTCACCATAAAATAAAAATTAGTGGTAATTTATCACTTGCTTATATGTAGTAGGTAGTAACAACAAAAGTTTAAATCCATTAATTATTTTCGTGATATCATATCATTATTTATGTTTAAAGTAAAAATAACAACAGTTTTACATAGCGACTACCAAATTTATGTGTTTTCTGTTTGTTTTTTGTGATTTTGGCTCATTATGATTATTTTTATGTTGAAATTGTTATGTAAGCAGCTAGTGTGGAACAAAACAAAAAAAACAACTATTTTAAAAATAAAATTCCAATAGAGGACAGTATCGGTTTCATTTTACTATCTCTGCAAGGACCCTTGAACTCGTTTTATGACAGAAAAGTGACGAATGTCTCGAAATAAACCAAAAACACGTCCAATTTACGAGCTGTCAGCAGTCAATTCAACCACTTTAATAAAACAGCTTACGAAAAAAAAAACAAACTTTAATAAACACTATTTCTACCGGCAGTAACGAAAATAAAACTCCTGGAAAATTCATGACAAACTCCCAATTCCGACTTTTGCTTAAATTGAAGAGTTTCTAGGATTTCTGGATACGACGAATTAATTCAAATAGTTTAAGTATCATTAGTTTGTAGACGAAAATTAACTGGAATTAAACTTTACGCCTTCACCTCGTATCCCATTCTAATTTCATGTAAATACCATTAATCCTGCATTTTGGAGGAGCGAAGTTATTTTTAGTACAAAAATACAGTAGAGTTCACACTAACGACATCGACACACGTTTTTGGTTCCGGTGATTTACAATGGAAGCACCACCATATAAGGTAGGGGCCATTAATTAAAATAAAAATATATATATTAACGTATTGTTGTAGATATGTTTTGATAACATTTTGGGGCGCCATCTGGTAGCAACACATTCAATCGATTGTGGTACTGTCATATTGGAGGAGCCCCCTTTAATAAGAGGGCCTTTTTTCCATACTTATGCTGTATGCCTGGCTTGTGGAAAAATTTTGACTGAAGCGAGTAGTCGTCCTTGCTCGAAATGTGGATGGCCTTTGTGTGACGAAAACTGTGAGAAATCTCCAAATCATCAACCAGAATGTATATTAACAGTGGCCAGAGGAAACAAGGTTTTTGTAGAATTCTTGTCAAGTAGTTATATCTAACTGATTTTTTGTCTGTAGATATCGATCAAAAATTTTGGAGTTTCTAACCCAAATTACCAGTTTGTTACAATTTTGCGTGCTCTGTATTTGAAACAAGCAGCTCCAGAAATGTGGGAAAAACTAATGCAACTCCAGCCACACCCCATAGATGTTAATATAGCTCCGCCAAGTTTTATTCGGAAGTTGTTTAAGTTGGACGATTGGTCCGAAGATAAAATAAAAAAAGTTGCTGAAATTTTAACAATAAATGGACACGAACTTCCTATTGCGCGATCCCCACAGTTAGCAGTTTATGACAAAACTTCGCTATTAGAGCACTGTTGTCAAGCTAATTGTACTAAAACGTTTACAAACGAAGGACATGTTTTAGTCATAGCGGCACGCCAGATCGAAGAAAACGAACACTTGAGTATCTGTTACACTGACCCTTTATGGGGAGTCGAAAATCGCCGGTTACACTTACATCAAACAAAACATTTTTGGTGTTCCTGCTCTAGATGCGAAGATCCTTCAGAAATGGGTACAAACATAAATTCCATTAGATGCCCAAACGAGTAAAAACGTGCCACAAATCACTCACTTTTTAATTCTTGTGGTTTCAGGTCATGCAGTGGGTTCGTCCTCCCCAAAACCTTCTTGCAAGAGATCAAAATTTGGAACTGTGACTCATGCGATGCAGTTTTTTCCAATGACAACATATCACTCCTTTTGGGAAAAATTGGTGCAGAAGTGTCTGAAATGCCAAAGGAAGATGCAGCAGCTTGCAAACAATTTATCAAGAAGTATGACAAGGTTTTGGCCGCGACTCATTTCTACATGATTGATGTGAAGATGGCGTTGAGTCATATGCTTTCTAGTGAAAATTACGAGGAATTAAGCTATAATGATTTAAAGTTGCTTTTTAAAACAACCGAGGAGTTAAAAATGGTAGCAGAAACCATTGCCCCCGCTGAAAGACGGCTTCTGGGTTTAATTCTGTACCGGCTGGCAAAAACAAAAATCGAAATGGCTAGACGCGATGATGATGAAGGCAAATTTCGATCAGTCCTAGCGGTACGTAGTCTGAACTATGTGTTTTTGTGGTACTGACGTACTCATGTTCACAGGAATCCAGGAATGACTTCTGCGAAGCGCGCCTTTTCCTCGCGAACGAGCCCACGGTACTACCTGAAGGCCGCGTTTGTTTGAAGATCGGGCTCGAGTTAAAACTGATTGATGATTTGTTAACTAAAAAATAAACGTGTTTTTGTTTGTGTACCTGCAAGTTTAATTTGTATCGTTTGCTACATTTCCGTTTTATATTTAAATCTATTTGAGGAGGTCGACGTTTATTAATAGCTGCCGCAAGTCACTTTATTGCAGTTCTCTTTCAATTGCGGACGTGGGTTGGCGCGTTACGCAACTTTTATTACTGTTTGTTTGGATTCAGTTCAACTATTTAACGATGGATGCAAAAGCTGACGAAAAGCTGCAAGTTTTGGAAACGAAGCAATGTGAGGTGTGCCAAAAACCGGCCATACACAGGTGTGGAGGATGTCGCCGGGTTTGCTACTGCAGTAAACAGCATCAGCAGGACCATTGGGAACAGCACAAAAATGTTTGCAGATCGTACAAGGTAAGGTTACCTCATTTTGACGCCCCACGTAAAATATGCAGTCAAAGGAGCGGCTGGATACGTGGTGTTAAAGTAACTTGGATTACTTGGAAAATGTAGATGTATAGTGTGTAGTGTATATTTGTTGCATGAATATTTACCGCAAGACCGCAAGATAACTAAGCGATCTTATATCAGAGTTCCGCAACTAACGTTGTTTAGGTTAAGTAAACATTTTCCTGCGTTGTACGAAGTTTCGAAAGAGTTAGAGGAGTAAATGCATTTTAAATCCCACGGTTCCACAAGGAAATGTTTCTTTGCAACTTTTGGCTTTGTGAAGAGGTTTTTGTCAAAATGTTTGAGCATCTTAATTAGTGCGGGAAATTTAAAATAGTCGAATAGTCTGGACACAGTGTACCATCATTACCGTCAGAGTACGTGGCAAAGTAAACAGTCAAATTTATTGACTTATAAAAGGTTTGCAACATAACTTTCTTGTGGGCTCTTTACCGGTATTTATTGCCTCTTTCTTGCACAGGTTTCCTGAGCTGGTTGAATATTTTAAAGAATAAGTTCAACATAATAATATTTTAAAATAAGATTTAATTTATTTTTGTTAGGCTTGCTCTGATTTATTTTTTCTGCTTTTAATCAAAGAAAAGGATTTAATTTCAATTTAAACAGGAAATGAATTGGGAAAACTCGAAGTGAAGCACGTTTACACTGTCTGCAATTTCGGAAGATTGGGTTCAATGGAACAGCATTTAAACGGCTGAAAATACGAGAAAATAATTACAATATTCGGTAGTTACCGTTGAAAGTTATTTATTGATAATAAGAAAGGTATATGTAAAGTACTGTTCGTCATTCTTACTTCCCGAGCGTAAAGCTACGGTCATGTTTTTTCGACGTTTTTAGTCCAAGAGTACGAAATAATAAGTTTTTCATCTTTATTGATCAAATCAAGTACGGCTCACATAATTTTGCCGAAAATGTGACTATAGTACTGTTACTTTAATATTACACTGCACATATTCAAATAATAAAAATATAAATATTGATGACGGCATCACATAATGTTTTTTATGGAAAAACTCACTTGAAACATACGCATATCATGCTCTTTTACCTCTACTTTCACAGTCTACACAATCTTTATTTTAACATATAGGGGTTATCATGAAAAAAATACAAATCGCGAGGGACAAAGGATTTTCTGTCTAAATAACCTTAGAATTTATTAGTTTTGTTCTACAATAATTTCCTAAGAATGTTAAGGAATCGAAATTTTGAATAAAAATAATAAAAATAATGATCACTGAAGTTCAATTTTTAAAAATTAACGAAATTAACGTGCATAGGTGTCTACAAAAAAAATTATGAAAACTTTGAACAAGAACCAAGAAATTAGATGTTAAATGAAGAAATAACAACTGCGAGTCTCTTCCATAGAAGTATTTTTTAATACCTTAATTAATGATTATTATATATGGGCTGAAAAAAAGAATGGGACGGTCAGATGAGTTGTTATTATATTGTTTGTGTGTAAAATATAAAGCCACAGCCAAGAATTACTTTTCATGCAAGGTCACGAGGTGTTGCTATTCTACCTACAAATAAAATTGAAGTAATGATTACGCAATCAAATCATTTTAGCTGTAATAAAAAGTGGCGGGAAATTGCTTTTTCTAAAATGTGGTCCTCATTACGTGGGGTTAATTACAAATAATTGCCATGCTGGAAGAAAAAGTCGTAAACATGATTTTCAATTGATTTGATATGACGTGAGACTTTAGCACTATGAATTATTTACGTCGGTAGGAATTATTGTACAAAAACTCTTCTAAGCAGGAATTCCAAACATATGAAGTAATTTCTTTTATGACTAAATTGTGTTCCTTCTGGTGTTTTTAGTCATTATTGTTTGCAATTTTAGCAATGTCAGTATTCAGTCTAGTAATTTACTCTAATAACGTGTATTTGTTGTCATTAACCCTAGAAGAAAATTCAAGAATGCTATATCCGCAGGTAAAGATGGCAAGAAGTTTATAACTGTTTTACGAAAAAGAACAAGATTACTGTGGGTTTCCATAATACACTGCCAGACAAAAAAACCGAACACTCGAATTTTTTGCGATCAACTGTAGTTGGTTGAAGTTTTGTAAAAAAAAATATTCTAAAAAGCAAAACATTAATGTATTCATTAACAGAAAATATAACTTTATTCTAAAAGAAAAAATAAATAAATAAAAAAAAGTTACAACAGTAAATGTTAGCGTAAAAAAAATCAAAATGTTGTTATAAGAGACCACGCACTAGACACCTCTACATGAACGAACACTCATAGTAAATTTTGAATGTACCTAATTAGCTAGAAACTAAAGGATTATGTTGAGTTTCCAGTATTTCTTGAAACAAAAATCATTATGCACGTGATATTTTGAATTTCTAGGTAAATTGATATACAGGGTGTTCATTTTATCTGTTCACGCCTGAATATTTCTACATAGACAATCCATTTTACGTTTCATAAACAGCTTTGATTAATTTTTATTTTTAAATAATAATGAACGCATAGCTAGCAATGATCAGCACCAAAGTTATGACAAATTATTTCTGTCAGCTAAATATTTTCAGTTTTCGTTTGCTTTAAAATGTTTTCGAATTCTGAAAGGACAGAGTTCGAAATTGAACCAGAAAATCCCCACTTGAGTCAAAGACAGATTGCAAGACAAATGGTGATTAGTTTGGGTTTGGTTTTCAACATCGTATTAAAGGCAAACCGATTTCATCCATACCAACTGTCCAACATTTAACAGAACGGGATTTTATCCAACGGTTAGTGTTTTGCGAATTGGTGAGGGCTCAATTACGAGACAATCAAGATTTTTTATTGATTTACGGATGAAGCCACATTTACCAATAACGGGTGTGTAAACAGGCACAACTCACATATATACTATGCCCAGAAAAATCCCCATTGGTATCAGGAAAAGCACTTCCAAGAAGTTTTCAAAGTTAATGCCTGATGTGGAATTGTTGGTAATCACGTCATTGGTCCACATTTTTTTGATGGAAATTTAAACTGACCTATGTATCTAAATTTTTTAAAGAATATTTTACCTGAACTATTGGAAAACGGAGAGCTATACATACGAAGAACACTTTGGTTTCAAAATGATGGCGCTCCTGCTCATTATCAGAGAGACGCTAGGAACTATTTACACAGATGCTATGGAAGAATAGTACGCTTGGCCCGCACGGAGCCCTGATCTAACGTCATTAGATTTTTTTCTTTGGGGGAAGGTGAAAATAGTATATTATTAGCCAAGGTTGCAAAGCCAAGCATTCTAGACCGAGTGCAAATTAGACCCCGAGACGCGTAGCGTCGAGGGCTCTGAAGCGCGAGGTCTAGAAGTGGCTTTGCAACCGTGGTTAATATACTATTTTTTTCACTAGTAGAAACCATAAGACAATAAATTGAAAAAATAAACGTTCAATTTTTTGACGCAACATGATTTTGTTTTGATTTCTAATCAAACTTAATCTAAATCTTCAACACAAAGAAAACCGTTTATACTTGTCGCTGAATTAATCATTTTATCTTCTACCGTCTACCAACTACCATGCGTATACTCAAGTAATGTTTGTAGCACACATTTGTTCATTTCTTAAGAAATAATCACATCAAACATTGCGTACATAACCTCAATTTTTCTTTTTGAACCGGTGTCAGAACGATAACTGTTCAGGCAATAAAGCATGTTTAAGAAAAGTTGGGTAGATATGGTTTTTAACTTTTTAGTGGTCTTAAATAGCGCGCTGTTTTTCTTCAAGTAAAATCAGACTTTAAAATAAATAAAAGATGGCTAGTGGGCGGAGCTAGGGAATTTTAATCCACCTTTCACCGAAGAGGAAATTACGTGAATTCGGGTGGGTGGAGCTAACTTCAATTATTGTCAAATTTAGATTCTGCTCTTTGCCAATATAAAATTGAATGTTCATTTCGGAGCGAATAAATTTGGTCTTTTGAAAGAGAAGGGGTGGGTGGGTGGGGTTATTTTTTGTGTTTATAGTCTAGTATTTGCCAAAACAAAATAAAAGGAAATAAAATGAGTCCTTTAAATAGAGAAGGAGTGGATGGATTTTTTAAAATTTTATGTGGATTCTACTGGAGGATCATTTTGCATTTTTTTTTAGTTTCCGGTATTTGCTAAAATAGAAGGAAGTTCTTGAGATAGAGAAGGGGAGGGTGGGTGGGCCAAATATTTTCTGTAGTGATTAAAACTAAAGGCACATCATTAATTTATACGTAACATTGAAATTCAAAGCATATTTTTTCATAAGCTTTTGCTTAATATTTTTTGGGATGTCACCAACTTATTCGAAGGAATTTTTTTGGTCGAATTTTTTTTTCGCTTCTTTCAGTCGCATTTTTTTGTATTTTCTGTCTTTTTCTTATCACAATTTTGTCTTGCATTTTTTGTCGCTTTTTTGGATTGTTTTTTAGTCGGATTTTTTTTCTTTTCTTGTCTTTTTTGGCCCTCGTCTTTTTTTTTCCAGCTCTTGTCTTTTTTGTTCCAATTTTTACTTTTTATTGTTGCCCATTTTTTGGCACTTTTTTGGATTATTTTTTTAATCGCATTTTTGGTTTCTTGCTGCTTTTTGACGTTTTTTGTTTTTTCTTGCCTTTTATGGCTGCATTTTTTGTCGTTTTTTTCCCTTGCCTTTTTACTTTCTGAGCGTAAGCGCAAGCGCAAACAGTAGCCCCTCCCACCTACCCCTTCTTCGTTTCAGTGACTACTCTTAATATTGTTCAGTCCAGTTAGTACTTACTAAGATAAGACTTATTTTGGCAAATGATACACCCTTCTATTTTTTTAGAATGTGTCATTTGCCAAAACAATCTTATCTTAGCAAGTACTAGCCCCGCCCACCCGCCCTCTATTTTCTTAGAGGATGTATCATTTGAAAAGTCAGTCACATCTTAGTCAATATTAGCCCCGCCCACCCGCCCTCTATTTTCTTAAAGGGTGTTTCACTAGCCAAAATCAGTCGTATCTTGGCAAGTACTAACCCTACTCACCGGTCCTTTATTTTCTTGAGGGCCGGTGGGCGGAGCTAGTATTTACTAAGATAAGACTGACTTTTTAAAATGATATAACCTATAAGAAAATAGAGGGCGGGTGGGCGGGGCTAGTACCTGCTAAAATAAGTTCGATTTTGGCAAACGACATACCTTCCAAGAAAAGACATGGTTGATGGGCGGGGTTAGCACCTGCTAAACATAAAAGTGATTTTGGCAAATGACATATCCTCTAAGAAATTTAATTAAATTATTATAAGAAAAGATACGAGAGGTTCCAAAGCACTTTCAGCTTTATTTATACCATATATCTAATATTACTATATTGCTAACTGGCCTCAAAAGAGTCCGAAAACACAACGGCATAGCAATACATCCGATCTCTCTGTTTCTCTGAAGTATTAGATATATGATTTATGCACTCAATGCAGAAACTAAATCTTCTGTAATTTATTATTATTATTACGATCATACTCCTGTGGTCTTTATTTAGCTTTTTTCTTCTGTCGTCTTCGTCATGTCATTCACAAATTGACAGAGTCAAACATAACGTTTAAAAGTGAGGTTATGGCTAAAACTTTATTTACACCCTCTCACCCTCTGACAATACGAAATGAGGTGTCGGATGCTGTATATATAATATGTCACTCTATCCGCACTTTTTGTTGATTGCGTTTGTGTAGAGCTTACCTCAGTTAAATTATTGTTGAATTGTCGTTATAAACTCGTTGCCAATGGTCTCAGTTTTTTTTTTTGTAAATTAAGCAGTTCTTTCTACAGTTTTTCTTGTTTAATTTTAATTCAAATTTTGTTAGCTTTTTGGGGTTTAGGTAGAAGTTTTTATCAGCTATTATTTTTGTCGGTGATGTTTCTCTTCGATTTTCTTTTCTCAAACTAATATTGGAATGTTAATCATGAATTTTGTTTCTTTTCAGTTCGATAGTATCTTGCTAAATTTTATCTTTATATTCCACGAAGTTTTGGATTGTTGATTCACTAATGTTTTAATTTTTTGAATATATTTCCCTGCTTCAAATTTAATCTACAGCTTGTTCTTCAAGGTCTCATAATATATCCTAAAAATTGGTCCATTACTATCAAGGCAGTCATCATAGCTAAATTCATGACTTTTAACTTGTACAACTTATTAATCTCCGTTATACTCGTCTTTAGACATTTCACTTCAAGAATGTATGTCATAATTAAAAATATTCTATTCTATTCTATTCAATTCAAAAATATCTATTCTAATAAAAATAATAGAAACAAATATGTATATTTCTAATGAAAATTAAACAGAAGGGTCCAAGGAAACTTTAAATGTCAAAACATCAATGATGAAAACGTAAACAATTTAAAAATGTGTGACATATTTATTTGTTGGTAAAATTATCAATTTTTTTTGTTTGCAGATTTGCCAAAACGATGATCACAGTCGTCATGTAGTAGCTACTAGATCTCTCACCCCTGGAGAATTCATTCTACTGGAACCACCTCTCATCTGGGGCCCCTCTTTCAACACAGTTCCAATTTGTCTGGGTTGTGGCAAAGCCGTTAACGGCGAAAATAGCAGACCTTGTAACAAATGCGGTTGGCCTGTGTGTAGTACTTTATGTGAAAAATCTCCTAGTCATCTTCCCGAATGTAGATACTCAATCCAACGTGGCGAAAGAGTCCACATAAAAAAGTTTGGAGTACCTCAACCGATTTACAGATGCATTACCATCCTGCGTTGTTTGTACCACAAACAGTTTTTACCAAGGAGCTGGAAGAAACTGGAAAAACTTCTTTCTAGTTTAGGAAATCACACCTCAACAGTCACTTCCGAGAATGAAAAACAGACAATCGCAGAATTCATTAGGAGGTTTTTCAAGGTTTGGGCAATATTTTCAATGGAGGACGTGATGAAAGTTTGCGAAATGGTCATGGTAAGATACACTTCCAAAATTCCACCATATGTTACTTTAACGTTTTGTTTTAGATTAATAGTCACGAAGTACGTTTAACCGATCCGCCTTTCATTGCGATCTATAGTACCACATCTATGATAGAGCATAATTGTAGACCAAATTGCACTAAAAGTTTCACAAATCTTGGCCAAATTCTTATCACTGCAGCAGTACCAATTCAAGAAGGTGATAATCTGAGCATTTCTTATACGGATCCTTTATCTGGCACTCAAAGTCGGAGGTACTTCCTTCACGAAACGAAATTCTTTTGGTGTCGGTGCGAGCGGTGTGAGGACCCAACAGAACTTGGTACAAATTTTAGTGCTCTTAAATGTCAATCACCGTAAATTGGTCGTTCAGTTCTTTCTGATTTCACTATATACGTGTGTTGTAGAGACTGTGATGGTTATCTCCTTCCGAAAACATTTACTGATGTTCAAACTTTGCCTGACTGGATTTGTAACATATGTAGTCGGTGTGTATCCTCCTACTCAGCTCATGACGTACTGGAACGAATAGAGCATGATTTGTATGATCTTGATAAGGCAAATGTTGAGGAATGTAAACATTTTTTGAGAACTTATGAAAGTTATTTGCACGAAAACCACTTTTATTTTGCTGGTGTTGAGTATATATTTTGCCAGCTTTTGGGAAAAAGCGGTGTGCAACTCTTAAGTGATGAAGATCTAGAGTTGAAGTTTCATTATTGTTGTCATTTGGAGAGTTTACTGAAAGTTTTAGCGCCAGCGGAAAAATGCATTCTTGGAACGGTTTTATTTGAAAAATTTTCAAGCATCATGGAAATTCGGAGAAGAAAAGGATCACAGGAACTGAAAAATAATCATGAGGTAAGTGAAACGTGCTTTATCTGAGTATTACATGTATTGAACTTTTGTTTTCTATATAGGAATGCAGAGCAATTCTTCATGAAGTGACTGAACTTTTAAAAAATGAACCCGACTGTCTCCCGGAAGGAAAAATTTATCAAAAAGCAAGAGCGTATTTGAGTAATGAAGTTCTTATGGAGAATGAAAATATCGATGAAAACTAGTGTATCGCATAATTGTTATAGTGCATTTAAATAAAACCTGTTGTGAGTTGTTAGGGTTTACTTTTTCAACCATCTGATAATTACTTTGCATAGTATGATAAGTTACTTTAAGTACTTCAAAAAAAGCGCAACGATCTGCCAAATACCTTAACAAATGTTTGTTTGTTAAATCTTTTGTCAAAATATTTTTTGACCTAGTACTACGCTTTGACCTTGAAATGTCAAAAGTGTGACAATTTCAGTATGAAGTGTGTCACCCTACGTCAACGTTGTTATTGTTTGTTAGTTCTTGACGTAATCAGTATATTAGCTAAATGACCTTATTATCTTCAAAATGGGTTTCCCCAACACTTTTATTTATTTAAAATAAAGCATATAGCAGCTGTTACTCCTATCAAGAGGTTCACGGCATTCATATCAGGCATTTATTAAGATTACTTATTTTTTAAGTGTTGCTTGAGTTTTTTTTTGCATTAATGTTTTTTAGTTCTGATATTATGTGAAGAATGAAAAAGGCTCTCAAAGAAGGAATCATTCGATCCACTATGCCTCTTAAAATTTTACTTATATGTCATAGTTTTGATATTTCAAAATTAAAGCGTGTCCCTATGATGGGAATCAGCATTATTTTACTACTTATCCATAAGTTTTTAAATTTTAATGGTGTACCTGCAGCGGTTCCAAGGTTATAAGACTTATAAGGTAGGGATTGACTTTACAGGCGCACTGTATGTTAAAATCGTATATCAACCAGAATGATTTCCAGTGAATCACTGAAAAAAAATTCTTTGGCGGATTTGACAACTCATTTAGTGCTACAATGTAAAATTTTTTTGGATCATTTAGGCTATTTCGTTGGAAGGTCATTTTTATATACTAATCATCAGCTGAGGAAATATTGTAATATGCTCCATTCGCCAAATGGCCACGTTTCTCTACGTGTCATGACCCGTAGAGTATGAAAAAGTGGGTATATTGTACAATTTAGATAGAATGTACCCATCAAAATTTTGAGATCACGTCATTGAGTTTTTGGAAGGGATAAACAGATTTTAAATGAAACATTTAGAAATTATTTTTAATTATATAATCCATTGGCGCATCCTCTACATCTGTCTTACGATATCAAAAATTAACAATTTTTTTTTCAAAATTTTATGTTGTATAAAATGTGTTGCCGCTGAAAAATCATAGAAATGTGTGTGTACGTCATTTACAGTTGCAACACTTTTTAACATTTAAGTTTAAGAGATTCCGTACTTAACAATATTATTTATTTAGATTCGGTTGTTGCTTTGACAGAATGTTATCCTTGAACTATATCACTAGAAATCAACAAATTAAAAAAATTGCGTTATTTAAATTTAGTTTAAACAATAAAAATATTACGTATATTAATTTCAGTGTATTTACTTTGCAGAAAAGATAATTTGTTGATAATAAATAATCGTCACATGTTAAACGATATTTTATAAAAAGAACTTATCAATGTTTGACCTTCATTTCATATTTAATTCGACTTTGTCAGTGGTCATCTACTGTATCTTACAGCGTCAAAGCTTAGAACCATAATGAACATTTTCGTAACTTTCGTGTTTGTAGTAATTTTTGTGACGTCATGTAAAGGTAAGGATTTTTCTTTATTCGAAAAAAAATCGCACTAAGTGAAGTGGACATTATTCTCGTGTTCTATGGTATACACACAATCCTCCTAATTTTAGGTATAAAAAGTTATATGGGCACAGATATGCAGACATGTTTCAACTGTCTCTGCCATGCCAGAACTGGTTGTTACAGTCGCATCAATTGTGCTAAATACTCAATTAATTTTGATTACTGGAAGACCGCTAATAGTCCAGTGGTTGACGTAGACGATGAACCAGAGACCCAACAAAGTTACAAAAAATGCATGCGCAATGAAAACTGCATTTTAGCTACACTTGACCAGTACGCAGATGCTATTGGACATATGGTATTGAACGCATATTTCATATCATGAAAAAACAGATAACATTTTCCATCTTATTTTAGGATTGCAATTGTGATGGCACGTTTGATTGTAAAGACAGATTTGCTATACACTTATTTGGATCCGAATGCACTAATCCCAAGTTCTCCAAAAAATACGCTAAAAGGTTTAATAGTTGTTCAAAAGAGGCAGGTACTAAAACCATGTTGATCGAGGAAGGCTACTATGGGTGCACGCCTGAAGTGTTTTAACTGTTAACAATATTTTAATACGTACAACACTTATTTTTATATGGATTTAGAACTGTAGATCAGGAAGCAAATTAAAAAAAAGTGTTATTTAGTGTAAATTTAATTCAAATTGATTGTAAATTAAAGGAATGCTTCGATAAAACAATAAATGGCACAAATACTTTTATTTTAAAAGTACCAATTATTACATAGCAAAATAGTAATTTTCAATATTTAAAAAAATATTCGGAAGTTTGTGTCAAAATTATCAAATCTAATTTTTTTATCTCGCTCCATTAGCGGAGGATAAATCATGACTCATTTAGACGTTTTGTATAGATCGTTGCCATGGAAACCACGGCTCTAGTCCCTGTATTTGGCTGGAATCAGATCACATTTGAAACAGTGACCACAGGAAGTAAATCAACTACGGGAGTTCATTTTCATTCTGCGCGATGAAGTTGTTTGATTTTAAATAAAAATAATGAATTCAGATGAATATTTAATAACCCCCGATTTATTAATGAAAAAGTGTTCATGGCAAAACGAGAGACTTTCATAGATATTTTAATAGACATAACACGCGTCATAAATGTTTGTGGATGTGCGGTTGTGAAAAAAATAATAAATTGTTTTGTTTTGTGTGTCTCCTCAGTAATGAGTTAAAACCAAAGGTATGTGGACAACTACATTTTTACTTTTATTGAATGCAGAGTTGTATTTATTTCCGTCACACAATTTCGTCTATTAATTGGTAATAAAAGCCTGTCAAAAAAAACAACATTTTTAAATTGATCTGTGTCCGTAAGATATTGGCAATTTATAAAACGGATTTTACACTAATATCAGATTGATTTTGATAGTTCTAGTAAGCCTTAACATTTTGTTTATTTATGAAAATACCTATATCAAAAAATGAAAAGTGTTTTTAAACGGTCTGTTAGGAGGTGTACTGAACTAAGTCTGATTGTTAACAGCAGTTGATAAATAAAGATCATTATCTGATAAAAACAGTATTTCTTTATCAGCATGATAGTAAATCTATCGATCAGCATAGGTAGTTCGAAAGTGTAACACCAAATATCTAAATCTAATCAGTAATCAAGTTTCAATTGTAACAGAAACCTTGTTTTTGCAACTATTAAAACATTTTAGCTGACATTTTTAGACTTTATCCAACCAAAATGGCAAACGAAGAAGAACCGCAACAAAAGCTAATTATTACTGATTCGTCGAAAATTTACGAAGATATGTCACCTTATTATTTGAAGGACACGTTTTCCGACATTCAGATAATCCTATATCCGATAAAACAATTCATGCGCACAAAGTATAAGTTTTCCATTCGTTTGCGAAAAAGATCAACTTCTGAGCAAAGTTTCAATTTTCAGATTGTTCTCGCTGCTAGGTGCAAAGATTTTGAGATCCTTTTAATGCAAGACCGAAAACAAGTAAGCAAATATCTGTGGGAAAGTTATCAATTACACAGTAGAACAGTGTTTTTGTTACATATATTTTCTAAACATGGTTGGAAAGGTAATTTTGTGCTGAACAACTCTTAAAAGAGATAATATACCCATGTCGTCAAAAAAGAAAATTATTCAAGTTTTTATTGTCGTCCGGTGAACAATTAGAAAAAATGAAGTGAATTCTAATTTTACATAGAAAAACGCGCAAGAAGCACTAAAAAAATGTTCCATAGATTTCTGTCGACAGATATTTATTTATGTCTACGAATATTTAACCTGCCTAGAATATGTAGAAGGATCTAACTCTATAAAAGCCTCATGTATTCAGAAAGAATGGATACTTGGGTCTTTGTCTTAAATCTGTCTTCGACTTTCTTTATTTCTCGATGAAAAACTTATCAGCAAGGAAATTTAAATGAGACATAATTTGTGGAACGTTTGTTTCCTAAAAATTCACTGAACACTAAGCCAATTGATTCCCAAGTAAATTCAAATAGGCGCAGAACATTTGATCCTCCATTTGAATTTCAAGCCCAATGAAAATTCCTAAAAATAGAAAACGTACATAATATGAAAACTGAAATTCACTGTATCTTTTAATTTTTACCTTGGTTTATGTTAGCAGCAGAAAGCTTAGGAAATATTGTTTTCAGATGTTGAAATGCTTCCTCTCTTGTATTTCACTTGCATAAGAAGCACATGTGATTGGTATATCCAGATTGTAAGCTAGTTACTAAAGCTATAATTTTTAAATCGCCTATCAAATTCCACTCAAATTTTTTGTTTAACAAGTGTTGAATATTCTCGTATGTTTCTGTAATTTGTTAGGAATATGTAGTCGGCAGTACTAGATATTTATTCCCATTATGCAATAGTACACCTTCAACTGGAACTATCTATGAACAATCTCCAAAAAAAATTTTTTGACGATGTAGGCATAATATCTTATTTATTAGATAGTTATTCAGTACAAAATAACCTTTCAGAATACATTTTCAGAATGCTTGTAACAAGAAATTTTTCTAAAATTGTTCGACTGTGTATCATTCATAAACTGTTTTCAGACCAAGATTGAATTAGTTGATGTACCTTCAAAAGCGTTTGAAGCAATATTGTATTACATTTACACAGGTAGTTAGCCAAAATTTTAACTAAATATCTTGAATACATTGTGGTGTTAAATTTGTGGCAGGATCCGTTGTAATTGCATCATTCGATGGAAAATATATGTTTGATATATTGCAACTAGCAGTCGAATGTTAGTTAAAAACACTGGAAAAACGTATAAACGAATAATTCAATTCCATTCTGAATTCGTCAAATGTTTGTTTCTTTCTAAACATGTCCAACGTACACGACATGGATGAGTTAAGACAAAAATGTCATACTTTTATCGATGAACATGTTTCGCAAACGTTAGAATATGATTTTTTAAATAGCCTTATCCAAGTAACATCTCTACACTAACTGCGTATAAACATATACTTAATAGCATGTTTCAAAAATCTAGGGTTAAATTATTATTGAAAAGGGATGCGTTTCTGGTTGACGAAATTGACGTTTTTAATATAGCGGCGAACTGGTGCAAAATTAACAAAGATGTAGATAACTTGGTTATTGAATGTGTTCGATTTTCTTGCTTAACGCAAAATGAAATCTTAAATGTTGTTTGGCCGTCTAAAGTTGTAGATAATGAAAAACTGCTGAATCTTCTTGCACTGATTCAAAATAAAAGCACACACGAAGAACTACGCTTTGCTGGACAGTGTAAGTACGAAGACTGCTTAATCACCAAATCAGAAATGTAGACCTGTATGTTTTTTAGTAAAAGATAAAAATCTTTCTACAGCAGGATATAATGTTAAAGTGATTTCTGGAATGAATACCAACATGTTGTTTGAAGAACCTGAAAATTGTTGACAGTACAGTTTCTAAATGCGGAGTCCTCGCTTCAATCGAAAACTAGGAAACGGGGGCGCGGTATGCCAGTCTGTGGGAGTTCCAGATTTGGATCTGCTGACACTGAAGAACGACGGTTGTGGGACTAGTAGCGATGAGTCATTGGTAGTAGAGGAGGAACAAGCCCCTCATCCCGTTGCTGAATCGAGCCGGTTGTGCTCTGCGCATGCGAACGTCGTACCGGTTTCGAAATGGAATTTAAAGTTTACGGGAGGCGAAAAGGAGATATCATTGAGTGCGTTTTTGGCGCGAGTTGAGGAATTACGGATCGCCCGACACGCCACTAAACAAGATCTTTTGGACGGCGTTATTGATTTGTTTTCAGATAGAGCTCTAGTTTAGTTCAGAGCAAATCGCAAGCGTATAGACGGGTGGGACACTTTGGTCGCTTTATTAAGGCAACAATTTCAACCAGTGGATTACAATGATCGTCTTTTCGAAGAAATTCGCAGTCGTACCCAGGGTGCTGATGAACCTATGGGAATTTATTTAGCTGTCATGGATAACCTTTTCGATCGTCTGACGGTTAATGTTCCAGAGGGCCGCACGCCTCAAGATTATTTTACGCAATATTTCTCCATTTTATCAAAAGCAGTTGGGAACGAGACCTGTTACATCGCAGGAGGAACTTTTGGAGTTAGGTAGATTGGCCGAGTCTAGGAAAGCTTCGGTGGAAACGTTCAAGTCTCCCCCTAAGCGCGGTTCACATTACTTTTTGGAACCAGATCTTGCGTATCTCGAGATATCGGATACTTCCGTTGAGGCATCCGGAAGGGAGTTTAAGACTAGTTCGAAGGCTCGGTTTCCAGATAAATCAGGTCCGTGTTCGTCCGGTGCTATAGAGCATTCTTCTAAGTCAGTCGCATGCTGAAATTGTGGAAAGTCCGGTCACGTAAGACGTGAATGTCCTTCAAGAAAGTTAAAATGTCATCGTTGTGGTAAGCACGGTTTTACTGTACAGAACTGTCCAGGGTGTTCGGGAAACGGGCGCAAGGGTGCGTAAAAGGTCGCAGCGTCAACCCTTCTAGTCCGATAGCGACCAAGCATAATTTCTTTCCTGGTTCGGTGGACGAAGATGAACTCAGTAGGCGTTATGTGTTGCAGTACGTATTGCAACACGCTAAAGGAGATGAAAGACCTTATCTCGACGTGTTGATACAAGGTGTTGGTTTTTGCGGGTTGTTAGATTCGGGAGCTTCCAGAACTATTCTTGGTGGTCCTGGATGGGAAGTTTTGAGGAGTTCAGGAGTGTGTCTAAACCCTATTGATTTGCAGTGCATCATTGCAAACGGTGCCAAATGTCATTGTTCTGGTTATGTTCGCGCTACCGTGAGGTTGATGGATCGCGTGCGGGTGCTTGAAATTTTAGTCATTCCGGCGGTTCCTCAGAAGTTGATTTTGGGAGTAGATTTTTGGAAGGTGATGAATATCGTACCGGATTTGAGGCAGAACGTTTGGCATTTTTTGAAGGAACCGTGTGACTCCTTTTCGTTGAATAGTGTTCTGGACGAGAGCAGGTTGTCGCTCGAGCAGAAAAGCGCGTTAGAATTACTGCTGAAAGCTAAGTTACAGCGTAAGCCAGATTCTATCGGGTGTGCGAACACCGCACAGCACCACATCGAGCTTCTGCCCGGCACTAAGTCAATTAAACAACGTTATTATCCCGTCTCTCCCCACAAACAGCGTATCATAGATGAAGAACTCAAAAGAATGTTGGAGATGGACGTGATTGAGTCTTCTAAGTCCACCTGGTCGTCACCTGTATGT